TAACGGTCTGTATTGCTACACCTGCGATTCGCCGAGCTCCTGTCGCTCCCCCACCTCACAGTACTGCAACGTACAAACTGCCAACACGACCAGCGGTTGGCTGAGAAGGATTCACAGCAACGTTCCAAGCATCGTGGAAAATCGGTTCAAATGCCTGAATCTAACATATTACTACCCCCAAAGTAATTAGCCAATACGCAGAATTATTTTTGTAGTGCCTGATTATATTTAATATCCGCATTTATTTTCGCAGACAACGTGAAAACCCAAGAGATTCTGGGTTGCTACTATAGCTCTATACCAGTTTGTAATCTAAGTCTGAATGTGACCAACAGCTTTGATTGGGCCAAGTACTGTAACATATGTGACTATGACAATTGTAATCATCGCAATCCGGCGGGAACTCTTAGCAAGAGCAGCTTTACCATTATGTCTTCGGCTTTGCTCCTGATCCTAGCCAAAATATTCGTATAAGGAATATGATTTTTTAAATACAAATAAAACCCAGTACAATCTTTTCCGGAATATTCGATAAGCATTTTGGGAAACATTTTTCGGGGATCCTGACTCTTTAATCATATAATCATATAATCATTATACGCTGATTGCTCATTTTGAATGTGTTTATGAAATTTCACTAAAAGACAAAAAGACGGATAAGAAGTTCAATATCGTTAAAATGCTTTACGAACAGACGAACAGACTGATGGAATCCCAACGTCAACGAATCCCTAATGTTTCTATGTTTCTATGGCATCGGTAGAGCATTCTCTACAATCCTCAAGTGGATCGTGAGAGAGCAGCTCAACATACGGAACAAGAAAAACTCTGTTGCCTCTCTTTGCTCTAATTATATGCCGCAGGGGACTTTGGATAATGCGATTTTAAGCAACGGAATTTTCTTATTAAATAGGAATTTGAAAGAAAAGCCGGTGAGCTGTTCAGCATAGACAACTATAATTCATACATATAGAGTTTTGTTAATTGACTGGCTTGAAATCGATAATCGACTTAAATACCACTCCAGGACGAGCTAAACCAAGGCGCAAACTTGTTTCTATTGGCTATTCTACTATTGTCTATTCTACTATTCTTTATTGATCAATCTGTAAAGAAATGCTAGTGCAAAGTGCGTCCTACTCTTAAGCAAACAGAGCATATAATAGTATATAACTTTTTAATAAATTCAGTTAAATATAAATGCCAACAACAACATTAAACTTTAGCTTTTAAGCCGTCGCACAATACGCATACGCAGTGTTGACAGTCGCATAAGTTACGCGCGATGCTTAAAGCTATCCGTGGACCGTTATGTTAATGCTTGAACTTGCTTCCCATGTGTGTGTGTGTGTGTATGTATGTATTTGTATAGATGTGGGTGTTCGTATAATAAAATTAGATACATGAGTCGTTGTTGGGTCTCTGCTGCCTGCTGCCGTTGCTGTCGTGTCAATGATTCGGTTGCGGCATACGTGGCGTATGCTTGACGCTCTGCAACGATTTCGTTGTGGCAGCGCGCGCAGCTAGCTGCGTGCCATTTTTTATGGAAATAATATTCTTGTCAGGATTAAAAAGGATACGTGACCGGAACATTAATGCAATGCACAAGCCATCCAGTTGTCTCGCTGCGCAGCACAATAAGAAATGCCTCTCATAGCACTCTGTTTTGTGCTGCAACGTGTCGCGGCCACGCCCATCGAAAACAAAATGAAAAGCAGCTCAACTGTCAGCCGCAAGCCGAAAAGGCGCCCCACCGACTCTTGCCACAATTGTGAAGCGCACCTCGCACAGCCCCGACCCGAAAGCCGAACAGCACTGCCACGACCCTTCGATGTCTGTGTGGCTTGTGTTTATCTTTCGGGCTGCTGTCCCTGCACCTGTCCCTGCTCTGCCCCTGCCCCTGCCCCTGCCACCGCCTCTATCACAATATTATTGTCCTGTCAGGAGAGTGGCATGCCTCACCATTTGCCTTGACTATTGCACGTTGTTTTTCTAATTTTAAAAAAGCATATTGTAATTCTCTTGTTTACCTATTGTCGCACATACATACATACACGCATATATATATATGCATTTATATGTATATATATATATGTTTATAAATCTAACCCACAGCTATTTGTTGTTTGTTGTCTCCTGGTATTGTGAACAGGATTTGCGCATTTCGTTTACCTTCGAGATACCTGCTCAGCTACTCAGCTTGCCATTTGTCCTGTCATTTAATATCCTCAACGTATCCTTGGCAGAAGCTTATGCTTCTTGTATTTTTTGCCTTCATATCCTGCATCTGTTTCTGTGGCTCTTTCTGTCTTTTGTATTTAGTTATGCGTGACATGTCCAGGCAGCTGATATATGCTTTTCAATTTTTGAAACATTGCCCCTCGTTCCTAGTTTAGGTATTTTTTTCTATCGTGGTTGTCCTTCTACTTTTGTTTATTTGTTATGGCCAATACTTGCTTGGTATTGGGTTTTAGACATTAAGACGTGTTTGCAATTTGCAATCGTTCAAGTTTTATATATCTTGTTTTCTCTAGTTTTGTTGTTTTGCTAGTAAATCGCATTTGCATATTCTATTTGTACTATAAATTTGATAAGAATTACGAATTACAAAAGTGTTTGATTTTTTTAAGTTTTGCAATAATTTATTAGACTCATTCACGAAAGTGAAATGAGTATATTGGTTTTGTGCAATGTCCGTCTTGCTGTCCGTCCGTCTGTCCGTCTGTCCGTCTGTCCGTCTGTCCGTCTGTCCGTCTGTCCGTATGAACGCAATCTATTTCGGCGCNAAGGCGCGCTTCTGTCTGTACGCATAGAATAGACGATGAGTGTGTGCACATGTATAGTAAAATCGCGCTGATCTGCTGCTAGCTTGAAGCCGGTATCCAATATATGGATATAAATACATGTATATTATTAAAAGTCAAAATTGTATAAATTATATACATATGCATGTAATTTGAATGCAATTATGCAATGATCATAGCAATAGCTATCGATGATTTTCCCATTTTAAATGGGATCATGCCCTGTTTTTTGTTGCGCACTAGACTTGAAAATTGCACTATATACTCTGGTTGACAGCGTTTGGGCTGTGAATGAGTCTTCTGCAATCGGTATCGCCCGACTGCAACGTTCTTACTTGTTTTTTTTTTATTGAAGTCTATAATATATATTGTAAAATTTGTCGTGTAAGTCCGTACAGAATTATATGTAACATTTTCGATACGATGTTGATAATATATGCGATAAGAGAGAGCGATAGAGTGTGTACAACCTCAACAATAACTTAATTTAATCTTTATTACCTGCGGGCGCAGTATAGTAAACACATATCAGTTGAAATGATTCACTCGTGATTCAGACCTAGTACTAGCTGGAAATTTTACTAAACAAGATGTGGAATAAGTAAATTTTTAGCCTAATGCTAGCGACCGCAAGTGTACAGATTCGTAGTAACTTAGAACAAATTCCATCTGGAACGAATTATTGGCATTCACAATATACGCTCTTTCAGTGAGTGGTCTGACTTGCTATAGCTGTACTTCACCTGGTAACTGTCTCAATCCCAGCACCCAGGTCTGCTCCGATAAAACAGCCAATGAGACCAGCGGCTGGTTGAACACCATTCACAAATTTGTATCCGTCGTAGAAAGTAGTTCGGGTTGTCGAAAATTTTTAAAATATCGCATCGATGATATTTTAGGTTTTAAAAAAATATCAATATAATATTTGATATGCAATTTTCAAAAAATTGATATATCAAGATTTTCCGATTTTTTCGAAAACTTTTTTTTCACAATAAATTTATAATCCGTCCCAAAACACAAGAATAATAAGAATAAATATTTGTTATTAAAAGGATAAAGACCGCCTAACTCTAGTATTCGGTACTCAAAGATAAAAAAAATAAAAAAACGCGTTCTGTGAAATGAGTATCCGTCATACGACCTCGTGAGTCGTTGACAACACATTTTATTGCGGAAGCAAGTCGCTCGGAAGGCACTGAGCTACCAGGGGTGGATAGGCATCGTAGTGCGATCTTCGATACTCCAGACATAGACGCCTTATGAGAAATCCAAAAAATTATTGGATTGCTTTCCTTAGAAGATTGCGGCAAGCTGCTGTACATCTCAAGCTCTCTTTTTCCGCACAGTGTAAGCATCATAGTGCTTGTTTTTCAAATGCGACGCCCTATTTGATGTTATACCACATTTTTAAAAAATATTTTAAGGCACAAATTAAATTTGGCTGTTCCATTTTTAAAGTCCGAATAATTCGTTTTCACCATATTCAAGTTTTTCACTGGCTTGCGCTTGGTTCACTTATCACAAACATATCAAAAAATCGCCAACAAATATTCGATATTTGGCAAAAAAATATCCCGATATAAATATAATTTTTAAACAAAAAATATCTGCATATTGATATTTCGATATATTTTCGACAACTGTAGCATGAACCTCACATATTACTTTGAAAACAGTTCTCAGTTAATGTCAGATGTGTGTGCGTTTTTCATGTGTTTCTTCTATTTGGCATTCGCGGACAACTCCAAGATCCATGAATATCTAGGCTGTTATCACCCCGACCTTCCTATTAATATTTTACCTTTAAACGCATCTAAGAGAGATACCTGGAAGGAAGGTTGCCAGACCTGCAACAAAGACAAATACAATAGTAATCCAGCCGGTACTTTCAGCAAGAGCTTCTATATCAATATACATAATCTGTATATTCATTACTTTTATTTCAAAATCTCATTTAAAAAGAATTGTCTTTGAAGTAGGTATTCCATTGATACGCATAGGAAGAGCACAAGCTTCTTTCTCAAATCCCCGTACTAGTTCATCATGTATATTGATCATAACTCCACACAGTATAATTGTGGATTGTAGATGAGGCAATATGGTTGTACAAACATTTAATAATATTGTTGCCATGCGCAACATCGTTCATAAGATTACTTATACAAACCTGTACAACTTTTCAACGATATTGAAAAGCATACAAATGAATTATTGCTGACCTCTATTATAGATAAACAGAAATACAACAACTATTATACAAACTATTTACCATAAATAGCGTGTTAATTACCACGAAGCAGTGCTCTATCGTATAGGTAATATTGATAAGGTGGACATCCCTTTTGCCAGACACAACCAAGCCCAGCCCATAAAAAAAAAAAACTGATTTGCTTTTTTATCTTATCGGTCGAGTAAAGCAATGTAAATATCTAGGTATTTAGTGTTAAAAAAGTTGACATGATGATTAGTTAGTAATTGGAAGTGAAATGTGGAAGAAGTTAATTTGTGCTCTAGTGCTAGCGGCCTTTTTGGGCCTGCAGACGGGTGAGAAAAGCTGGAAATGAACTGTGTGTGCTTCAGCAATTCTAATCCATATCACATCTGCAGTTAACGGTCTGTATTGCTACACCTGCGATTCGCCGAGCTCCTGTCGCTCCCCCACCTCACAGTACTGCAACGTACAAACTGCCAACACGACCAGCGATTGGCTGAGAAGGCTTCACAGCAATGTTCCAAGAACCGTGAGCAATTCCTTCGAGTGCCTGAATCTAACATATTACTACCCCCAAAGTAATTAGCCAATATGAAGAACTATTTCTGTAGTGCTTGATTATATTTAATATCCCCATTTCTTTCCGCAGACAACGTCATAACCCAAGAGATTCTGGGTTGTTACTTTAGTTCTATATCAGTTTGTTATTTATTTAGGAACGAGAATAACAGCTATGACTGGGATAAGTCCTGTTACTTCTGTGGTTACGACAATTGCAATCATCGCAATCCGGCGGGAACTCTTAGCAAGAGCAGCTTTACCATTCTATCATCAGCTTGGCTTCTGATCCTAGCCAAAATATTCATATAAGGAATCTGATTTGCTTTTTTAAATAAAAATTAAACTATTCGGGGTGCCCTTAATCCCAAACAATCAGTCGCTTAAACTTGTTAAAATTATATAAATATATAAAATGCGAAAATATATTGAAATATCAGTTCCTCAAAGAGTTTAGGGGATCTCGTAGTCGAGCAGTGTTGACTAGAGTTTTTTAACTTGTTAAAGATAGACGACATTTTCGATATATTGGTTGGATATATTGGACATCATATTCGTAGCTGTAATATGTAATCTTGTATTAACTCTAAATCATATTTATCGTATTTTAACCTGATATTTATGCCCATAATTAATTTCGATATATTTACAATTAAACGTATTAAATGCATTTTAAATCACATATAATATGTCTCTTATTCAGATAAATAGCTCAGTTGTCTGGGAAAATCATGTGAAAGATGTGCTTGATTTCTCTAGTCATTGCAGCCATTGTGAGTCTAGAACTGGGTAAAGATTTGTTGAATTTGATTGAGCAAAGATTTTGCATATCTATTTAGCTAGTGGATTATATTGCTATATCTGCGATACATCCAGCTCGTGTCGTCAGCTCAGCCCTGCACGGCTGCCATGGCTTATGCGACAACCAGAAAGTAAGCCATCCAATTGGTGAACAGCTTCTAATAGGGAACCCATTAATGCTTCAGTTTGTAGGCGAGATCACAACCCATGAAATTTTGGGCTGTCTTCATGAAAATATCGATGCCTGTGACCCTACGGCCAGTATGGCTAGCCTAGTTCGTGCATGTAACACTTGCAATTGGAATTACTGCAATACGGTGGGCATCTCAGACTTGAATATCCCCACAATACTCACATTAGCCGTGAGTCCGCGGGTGGCCAAATTAATATTGATTTGAATGTGAAATTCTCGATTTAATTGAATTTGTTCCTAAAATACTCATTTGATCTATAAGCAATGCATCGAACGATTGGCAATAGTATTTTGATATCGTATATATACAGGGCTATCCAAATATGTATATGTAAACAGAAGGAAATCCATAATATCTTCAGATATACCCCTGCTATGACAGCTGATCCGCCAATCAGATGAATGTATTCAGAACCCTAAATCTTATATTATAAAGATCTACACAGGATTTAACATTTCTAGTTCTCACGGTATTAAAATTACCTTAAAAAATTAAATCAAAACTAAGTTATCGATAATAATGAAATAGAATAACTCGTTAAAGCAAATCATAAATTTCTACTGCTTATACTATACTAGTGATGAAATTGTAATATTCAAATTCTCTAGCTTTTGGGGTTTACGAAATCGCTAAGGGACGGTATTTACTAAGTCTGTTATGGCTAGACTGGCTCAACAGGATGCCGATCCCGATTAGGACCTCTGTGTGGAGTTAGCCACAGCTGTCACTGTTTCTAAAATTTTCCGGAAACTTAAATTTTCTTGATTACTTTTTCCTGATTTCCCATTTTCAATGGGTTCAGGGTATTATGGTTTTTCGACAAGTATGTAATAGGCAGAAGGAATCATCGCAGACTTCAGGAAGTATATATATTCTTGATCAGGCGACGATCTGAGTCGATATAGCCCTGTCCGTCTGTCCGTCTGTCCGTCCGTCCGTCCGTATGAGCAAAAGGATCTCAGAAGATATAAGAGCTAGAGAGCTGAAACTTGGCATGCATACTCGTGTACATCATAGGCAGTACAAGTTTATCATATTTTTTCGATAACTCATCCGATATCTTTTCTATCGAGAATAATCGAACAATTGACATTGTTTTTTCAGCCTAATTTGAATACTTTTAGACCTGAAGACTTCAAATTGCGTTGTATATAAGTTATGGATACAAAGATTTTGTAATTTACAGATTTTGGATACCACGCCCCATTCGCCCTTAATTTGTAAAAAATGCATTTCAAGTACTAGAGACTTGTGCTTCGGAATGTACACACATTTTAACCATATGATTACGCTCTGAAAGTTTCATTAAGATTGTATGTCTACAAAAGAAATTATTCGACAAATAAATTCTCATAATATTGCCTAAGCGCAGCCGCTGCTTACTGCGCAGTTATCAAAGCGTGTGCTTATAAGTGCATGAAGTCCAGAATGATTCAGGTCATCTCCTAGTCGAGCAGTCTCGACTGGAGCCTTCTTACTTGTTTTATATTCTTTTATTTATTCTTCTTTGCTCAGACTTAATAACAATTGATCTAAAAATTTGGCATGAGTTTCACATATTTTCCCTGAAGCACAATAAACTACTTGTGAAATAGTTGTCCTTTTCATAGCTTTTAATATGGATGAGTCTTTGGATAGTTGAAATATGTACAGTAAGAGTATTTACAAAGCCTGACTTAAAAGCTGGCTGATGTCTGACTAATTGTTGCAATTGACTGAGAGTGACTCATCTCTTTTAAGATTGACTTAAAACTCTACTGTTAGGCATGGCAGCTGTTTGTGTCGAGAGCTGCTTGTATAAAAGCACTTATTTCTGGGCTAACGCAAATCAGTTGTAAACGCAGCTTCGATAAGGAAAGTTGTTACACATTCAGAATGAAGAATATATTTTGGATGAGTTTCCTAATCTGTTCGATTTCTGTGCAATTGGGTGAGTTGCACTGGAAGAGATTTCATTTCAATATGAAAAACCCAAGAACTTTCCGATTGCAGTAAACTGCTTAGTCTGTCGCAACTGCGTTAGTCCAGCCAGCTGCAGGTATGCAAAGGTAGTCCAGTGCACCAATTATGCTGCAAATGTGACGAGCCAGTATTTGGCCACATATCATCGGAATGTGCTTGAGCTAAACAGTAGTCGCTTCAACTGCCTCGCTCTGAAGTATGTCTATACGAAAAGTGAGTAAGCTAACTCGTTGCAAGTATTACCCCATTATAAATATATCGAGTGCTAGACACTTCTGTGGACTATCATCTCTTTGCCTGTGTTCACCCCGATCTCGACGTCTGTGCGCTGCAGCTGAAGCCCGAGGTCAGCGACTGGAACCGGACGAGGTGTATCGTTTGCTCTGGCAACAATTGCAACAGAAATTCATCTGGCAAAATTGGTGGAGCCCTCTATACGATTGTGGGCACAGTCTGCACTCTCATATTAAGTAAGACCTATGGCTAATAGGCAACAATTATTATTAAATGATTGGTAAAGATATTCAGAAAATAACCACGAACAAACGATATTATCTTGTCTACCAAACCAAGTCTTTAACACTTCAAATAAAATCGTTTCTGTTATACCACATATATCCACTTTATAAGAAGAGGGTTTCCAGGAATATATACATATTATAAACAAGCATCTGGGTCTTTAAAGTACAGTAAAGTTTTTAATAGAAATTAATTTTATAACAAAAAGCAAAATATTTAAACAATAATAATAATCAAGGAATAAATTCAGATTAGATAATTCGACTATTATAATAATTATCGAATGATTCATGATTTTAAACATTCTTATGCTTTCGCAATTCATCCACAACTTGCTGCATGGTGGGACGAACGTTAGGGTCTTTATCCCAGCATCTTTGAATGAAAGTTTTSAATTGATCCGGACAATCAAATTTAAGATCATCCAGAGAGGGCCGTAGACCTGCATAAACCATACAAATGCTCAGAATATATGCATACATACATATGTATATAACAAGTAAGAAGGCTCTAGTCGAGACTGCTCGACTAGGAGATACCCTGAACCCTCTAAGCTGATAATTATTCTGCACCTCTTTTATGCACGCATAAGCCTGCGCTCTGCTAACTGCGCAGTAAGCAGCGACTGCGCTTGGGCTGCGCTGCAATGTGGGCAATATTATGAGAAATTATTTGTTGAATAATTTCTTTTGTAGACATACGATCTTAATGAAACTTTTAGAGCGTAATCATATGGTGAATATGTGTGTATATTCCAAAGCCCAAGTCTCTAGTATTTGAAATACGCTTTTTACAAAAGTGAGGGTGAGGGGGTGAATTTAAGGGTGGGGGGTAAATTTTAACAAAAACCGAAATTGTATAAATTGCATATAAGCATACATTAAAAATTTGGAGACTCTAGCAATAAGGGTGTAGAAGATATAATTTTATAACTGGTTTTCGATAAGGTTTTTTATCGATAAAAAAAGATCGGGATGAGTTATCGATTTTTAATGATAAACTTGATATGNTGGTACACACGAGTATGCATGCCAAATTTCAGCTCTCTAGCTCTTATAACTTCTGAGATCGACGCACTCATACGGACGGACGGACGGACGGACGGACGGACGGACAGACGGACAGGGCTATATCGACTCAGCTCGTCACGCTGATCAAGAATATATATACTTTGTGGGGTCTGCCACGCCTCCTTCTGCCCGTTACATACTTTTTCACAAAACCATTATACCCTGATTTCCCATTTTCAATGGGTTCAGGGTATAAAAATATTTGGTGTAAGTAAATAGCATTGAATTACCTTTATCAATTTCACTAAGAAGTTTTATTTGAAACTTATTTTCACCATTGTAGTAAGGAATCTTACGTGCCAGAACTTCCCAAATCGTAATGCCCATGCTATACACATCACATTTATCAGTGTACATTTTGCCATTGAAAACCTGCCATTGAAATCAAATGAGTGTTAAGTTAACATAGATATGTATGTCTATCTACCTCAGGCGCCATATAAATTGGAGTACCTCGTTTTGCAGTCATTTCATCTCTCGACTGCCTTACAAAACCAAAATCGCAAATTTTTAAGTTTTTGCGCTCGGCGTCCACCAACATATTCTGGCTCTTTACGTCCCGATGAATAACAGGTTGCTTTGACATTGCATGGAGATAAGCCAATGCCTAAAAATGAAATATGAATCATGTCTATGCATATATATGTATACATATACACATATAGACAACATACCTCAGCTGCTTGACACAACAAATTAATGGCTTGCGAGTACGTTAATTCGTCTCTTGTGTTGTGTAGAAAGTGAAATAAGCTTCCACCGGCTATGTACTCCATTACCAAAAGAGTTTCGGTTTTCTCCATCACAACTGCGTGTAATTTAACGAAGTTGGCATGGTCACTGACCATAGCCATGTAGAAGGGTTCGCGTTGTATATGCCCGTGCTCGATATTGCGCTCGATTATTTTGATGGCAACATCTTCGCCTTTGTATTTGCCTTTGTATACCGCTCCATAAGATCCCTCTCCAAGTTTCTGTGTGGTGTATTAGTTTTTATTAAATTTCATCAAATACATAGTATTTCTTATAATCGCTTACGTCATTGGGATTAATTTCAATATCACTTCTTTGGATCGCAGTCATTTCGCAACGGTAGGCAGAATCGTACTAATTTGCAGTGCGACAAAATAGGCATTTTGTGCACTTTTTGATTATTGATAAAGAACAAACACTGTACTGCAAAAGTGAACTTTATTTTAGCACTGAATTGAAAAGATAAGACCGCAGAGATTTCAAAACCCACAAAAGTTAGATACTTAAAAGTGTATAATTATTTATTCCATACGCATTACGAGCTAATCTAGTTTTGCGATAACTCAAACCATTTCCATATTATCGATATACATATCGATCAATTAATTTGGTTTATTAACGTTAGTTAAGCTGCAGATTCAAGGTTTAGTGCTCTATGTGTTGACAACAAGGATTGTTTAATCTTTCAAAACGCTTACTTCAAATACTAAAGAGGCGAGTTTTAAAAAGTCCACTCATTTAAATGTTCTTATCACATTTGACATTTGACAGATTTTAGTTTTTTCCACCAGTCGAGCAGTCTCTACCACTCTTACTATAAGAGTAAGTGTTGAACAGTGCAAGAGATTAATAAATTCACTTAGCTTAGATGACAAGTAAGCAAGCTCTAATCGAGACTCGAGATCCCCTAACCCCTGCTAATTTGTATAGTTGGAGGTAGATTTGAGGACGGGGGTGTATTTTGACAAATATTCAAAGTCTACCAAATTAAAAATGAATCTATATTTAAAATTTATAGCTCTATGTAGGTGTCTTCTACTAGGAGCTATTGTTGGCGAATCCAAAAAAATATGTATGTATATCTTAAAGTTCTACAATTAGAAAATAAATATTATAGCTAATATAATATTATAACAAGTAAGAAACCTCTAGTCGATAATCCTCGACTACGAGATCCCCTGAACCCCTCGCGCAACTGATAGTTCAATAATTATTTGCACATGCACGCACACACTCACATACACAGGCACGCATTTAATTGCTTAATGACTTTTAATGAAACTTTCTGATTATGATTGTAACAGAGATATGCATGCATTTGCCAAAGCACAAGTCTCTAGTATTTGAAATACGCCCTTTACAAAGGTGTGGGTGAGGGGTTGGATATAAGGGTGGGGGGTAAATTTTAACAAAAATCGAGTTTGAATAAAATGCATATAGGCATATACATATTTAAAATTTGGCGACTCTAGCTTTCAAGATGTAGCAGATATAAACTTATTACTGATTTTCGATAAAGTTTTTAACCGATAACCAAATATCGAGACTAATTATCGAATTTTAAAGAAAAGCTCGATATGCGCGTAGTATACACGGACTTAGAAAAAAAATTCCAGTCCCTAGCTCTTATATCTTCTGAGATCGACGCGTTCAAACATACGGACAGACGGACAGACAGACGAACAGGGCCAGCTCGTCGCACTGATCAAGAATATATATACTTTGTGGGGTCTGTCACGCCTCCTTCAGCCTGTTACATACATTTCATAAACCATTATATCCTGATTTCCCATTTTCAATGGCTTGAGAGTATAATAGTATGTATGTATTATTTATCTGCCTATGAACCGTAAGCGAGTATTAAGCAGTTATCATAGCCCGACTGGAAATTGTTTTGCTTTGAGCATTTGGCAGAAATGAGTTGAGTGTTCTGGCACAATCTCTCACAATATGAAGATAAGCCAATTTTGAGTGCGAGTTATTGGTGAAGTATAAAGCGTTAAGGCATTAAAGCAAAGAATTCACTTACTGCTGAACAGATCATAAAAACACTTCGCAGAAAGGAAAGTATCAAAATGTTGACGAAAAGCTTTCTTGTCAGTGTGCTAATTGCTATTACCTGTGTGCAGTTGGGTGAGTTTAATTGGCAGTGGGCTTACAGCACTAGCTAATAAAAGTTATATCAAATCGTAGCTAGCTCCTTGACGTGTTACAAATGCCTAAACGCAAATGATTGCAAGAAAGCGAAAACAACGACATGCACCGATGCAGCAGCCAATGAGACAAGCTATTACTTGGGCGTTTATCATCAGAACGTGCATTGGGTACCTATGTATAGATATGATTGCCTTGCCCTCAAGTACACGTATCCGAAGAGTAAGTAGCTGTGATGGTTCTCTTTGACCAGTTGCTCAACATAATATCGCTGTGCACTTATTTAGATAACACAGTGACGCATCAGCTGCATGGCTGCGTTCATCCCGATGTGAATGTCTGTAGCTTATCCCTCAAGCCGGAGTATTCCAGCTGGAGGAGGGCGCATTGTAATGTCTGCTCCGGAAACAAGTGCAACAAGAGTTCAGCTGGCACACTGAGTCGCAGCACCTACACCCTCGTGGCCGCTGTCTTGGCCGTGGTGCTGGCCAAGATCTATGCCTAGAATATATTCCAATAAACTGTCAACATTTATTTGTCAATATTGCCTAACCAACCGTTCAGTTCTGGCTTATCACATTATGCGATAAGATTGTGAAGTGAAATCGAACAAATTTTTTACGATTTCACTATTGTGACTCAGCTGGTTATCAATATTCTCAACTAATTGGGATCAACTATATAATATATAATACTAAACATATAAATAATCTAGGTGCACCACAATAGCGAATATTAAATCAACAATAAATGAAAGACTAACAACATTTCACACATAAAATATAAATATATAAAATAATATTCCAGTAATCCAATTAACTATTACGTAAATCCTCAATCAGATTAAATAGTTCCATTCTGATATCTCGGATGAGTTTCTTGAGATTTGATTGATCTTTAAATGAATAAATTAAGTGACTTTAAATATTTTTCGTAACTTTCAAGTCCATTCGTACTTACCTGCTAGCATACAGATAGCTTGCACTAATACCAATAAAGCTATAATGAGTACCTTAGACATGTTGCACTCTGAAGTTTCCAACTGCAACTGATTGAGATCGGAAAGTTTCCTATGTTTATGCACTTTTTCTATATTTATTCAGCAGCTGTTCACAAATACAATCGAATGATTGGCTCCAATTTCCGAAAGCTGTGATAGATATTGAATAAATATACACCTAAATTTCAGTCTAAATATGGATGGGATAGTAAACCAATTTGCTGTTTACTTATTACTGTAATTCATAGAATAAGCGTGTTTTAGTCGGGAGTGCTTGACGAGGAAATACCCTGCACTAGAGGTGATATTCTATACATTCTTTTTTCATTACGAAACATTACGAAATATTTGTTTCTAAATTATCAGTTTTTAGTAATCAGATTATATTGGCTATATAAAGAGTGTTTTTAGTCGATCGTATTTACATATGTATTTTCTAATCAAGATAAGATAAAATATATATGTATGTATATACAGAGAGTAATATTAATATTCGGTTTTTTCCGGTTTAATTTCAATTAATTATATATGTCTTATAAAATAAAAAATAAAATAAACGAATATTAATGTTACTCTCTGTACATACATACATACATACATATATACTCATATATACATATACTCACTGTATATGTATGAAATTACAGCGAAACCAATATACTCATTTCACTTTCGTGAATGAATATAGAAAGTTCGAGTTTCTATATTTAATGCTGATAAACTATTCTGATAAACTTTAGAAGCGATATAGAAGCGATATAGACATTCATATTCTTCTAAAATCACAGCAAGCAAATAACTGCTGACTTTCTCTTGACGTCTGTAAATAAATCTATTTTATTCACTCTCTGAGAAAAAACTCAGAGAGCAATCGAGTAACGAACTTCAATCGTATCTCCCCCTAAATGACGTTCGTTCAAAGAGCGTCACACGAATGCTTAAGACGATCAACAGAAAAAGTCTGCTGCTCTGAACGAGGCAGAGTTTCTATGAACTCGCTAATATAGCAAACTGTTCAACTGTTATTCTTGCTAGGGAAGGGGAGTCATGTAACTAAAATCCAATATTCTTCAAGGAATACAATATTCTATCGATAAACATCGATCGTACTGCGTATATTATATAGTTAAGCTTCCACTAATGGACTCTGCCTTTGTCTCCTCCACTCCTTCCGCCTGCAACATGTTTTTTAACAAAGCTATGGTGCCCCGAATTTCAATAAGGGTATAAAACATAATTTATCTTCTCCGTATGTATATGAAAAAGATTGAATTCAATTTAATTAGTTCATTTGAAGCAACATCGTGTGCAAAATGTCTAAATCACATTTGTGACAAGTATGAAATTGATTTAATAACAGCCCATACACATACAAGCAGACATAACACTCGCATGACACCCCGAATGTCCAACTATTGCATACAGAGTTATATAAATGCGCCAGCTTTCCATAACAAAAGTTAGTCGTGGAGCACATAGCTGGCTAAAAGCAAGCAAACAATTGAAACGAAAAACCAATCAGTCAACATGGTTACCTATGGAAGCACGGGTGATATGCCACATAACGCTGACCAAAGTGGGGCCTATGTTACCCTAAAATCCTGCTACCCTTTCTCACGCCACGAGCTCACAGAAAATGCAACATTTTGTTCCAAAAAAAGGAAAACAACAATACAAAAATTAATTGATGACGCACCTACACCTACACACCTATAGACACACACAGGCACACACACACACACGTTCATGACGCGCCGACACTAATTGGCAGTAACAACAGAAACAGCAACAGCAACAACAACAACAACAACAACAACAACAGCAACAGCAACAACAACAACAACAGCGGCTGTTATGTGGGTCCATGAAGTCGATTTGATAACAGCAGCCAGAGGGAAAAATCCATGGGTTATGAAACGTGGCTTAGGGTTGGGCTACGGTGGGCGTGACATCTGGGCAGTCAGAATCGATGCAGACATAGACGAACGGCAATCAATCAATTAAATGCCTCACTGCAATAGCAACAACAACAACGACAACAACAACAGCAATAGCAAAAGGAGCAACAACAGCGGACAAAAACGGTTGCCGATTTCTCTGGGCAAAGATGCAACAATCTTTAAAGATTTATCTGTGTTGCGTTTATTAAGACTGAGCTGCTACCCAGATACGGCAAATAATAATTGAGTAATAATGCCTTTCATAAGTCGAAGATAGTATACACTTTATATGAAGTTCAGATCAGTGTAGATGAGTTATACAGAAAGCAGTAATACGGATGCGGGAATATAATCAATTTTAGAGGGGTCAGTCCTATAGAAAGATCAGCTGGGTGGTAAGGCAATCGCATGTAGTTTTCCATACCGACCAACCCTTTTTGGATTCCATTTAGAAATAAATTTATGCTTCTCATGCTCAGCTGTAGTCAAGGCACAGTCAATGAGTGAAGGAGAACGAGCTCAGCTAAATCAAGCTTCGACTGAGCGAGCACAAAAATACCAGCATAGTAGAGTGGACTGAGGCTGATCCACCAGGGGCAGAGCGAGGTCAGCAGATCGACGAAGAAAGATCGAGTACAGTCCTACCTGAAATAGTGAGCACAGCAGAGCGATCTCAGGCAGATCGACAAGAGAGAGCGAGCATAGGAATAGCGTGCTTAGACTAATCAATCTATGGCATATTAACCCAATTTAAACGACGGGTATAAAACGGTGATAAAGGCGATGTTTAGAAGCTAATAGTTCCATCTTTATATTATCTGGGTGACGGAGGATTCGCCATAGACTGTGAATTTTCTGTACCTTTCCGATAACTGTATTCAGTTCTTAATGCAATACTCACTGAAATAGTTTGAGTGCAGAGTGTCCCTGCACTTGCTGCCCTTCTTCTTCTTCTCGTTTTGCAACTCAATGTGATTTTCAGCTGAATGATCGCTTTTAGGGTTCTATGACATTCAATCAAATTTATCCTATAAGAGTATCAAACTTATATTTACATTTACTTGAATTTATTTATATATTTAGATTGCTGAGATCAAAAGTGACTAGAGATAAGTGATATATAAATATGTATATAAGGTGGCTGTTGTCTTGAATTAAATTAAGTTATATACAAATTAATTAAATTATCTAAAATATATAAAATATTTCTACTTTAACTAACTATTTTTGTTTATTATATATTTCAGACTGCTGAATTATGGATAGCTTATATTTCTAAATTGGTAAATAAATTTATTTTGATTATTTATTTTTCCATATTATTTATATCATATTTATATTCATAAAAAATTCAGCTCGAGTCCCTTTGACAGATCAATTATACTTTCTAATGACACTTGCTGATGCTTTTTTTCAATATTCTTTGCGTATTAATCTCCCATAACGAGGTGATTATATGGCTCTCGCACTTTAACAAACCACATAGCAATTGTTTCTTTCGGATTTCATATTTATGATTTTGTGACAGGTTAACAATTAAATCAATATTTAATATATGCAATGCCAGACCAAGTGCCAACCTGCTGCCGTAGCTCATTATCAATTAAGCGCCCATCTACCTTGCAAAAGACAAAAAATGAGTAAAAAAGAACATTTTTGTCGCAGCTGTCAGGCTTTCAGTGTCAAATTACGTTAATAACATGAACAGGGAAAAACCAACGCGGCGTATACTGAATGAAAATAGTCTGAAGTAGAGGCTATCAGAGGGGCCAATGCTCTGTCTGTATGTGTGTGCGGTGTGTGTGGGCCGCCATCTGAATTAACCACGAATTACAAATCAATTTAAATGCGCGTTTCGTGGCTGAAACTTTTTGGCCACAATGAAAATTGAAAAGCGGCGCATTTTTCATTTTTTTTTTGTTCTTTTTTTTTACGTTGTTGTCTTTTTTGCCAGCTGCTCCTTTAGAGGGAAAACTTTTAATTCAATTCTTGTCAGGCGTGTCAATGGGATAGTCGGTCTGAACTTTTCCTTATTCAGGCATTTGGCCTTTTCCCGAACACTAATGGAAATTGTGCTTTAACTATCTATCTATCTATCTATCTATCTGCATAAACATATTTAACGCCATACAGCGTATCAGCATCGTTGTTGTTGCCTTTTCCTTACTCCACTTTTTTAAAACATGCAAAATCACGTCTATGGATCTTAATAACTTTTCGTGCTTGGGCAAACAATGCGAACGTGAAAGTTGAATTGGTTTCCCCAGTTAACGTGTTGTGCTGTGGCCAAGTTTCCGTTGGATTTTGTTTTCGTTGCCAGATAGATGAAGATAGTTAGAGCTGCGCTCAATATTGGATAAGCTGCAGGTACATATTGTAGCCAGAGTCAAGCGTAACTTTAGTTTGCTTAAGATGCGTTCTCAAAAAAAAAAAAAAAAAAAAAAAAGTATATAAACTTGCTTTTGGCCGTGACTTATAATGGAAATTCGAGCTCGTAAGTAATATTTCTAGCTAAAAGAAATAATTATTAGAATAATTATTAAAATAATATCATATTGCCTTTAACACCAAGCAGTCCGAACTTCTCTCATAGGTCAATGTAAAATAAGCCAATTTATTATTATATATAAATGGAATCAGTTGTCGTGAAAAAAAAAAAAAAAAAAAAAAAATGTTTGCTTAGCTTGCTTGCTAGCAGGAAAAAATAAATAAGAAGTCTTCGTAAAACCTTTTAGA